ACGACAACGACAAAGCGTACGGGAGGGACGTCCTTGCGTTCGATGAGAGCATCCGGGTCGTTCTCAGACACGATTCGATCGGGGGCGGCGACGAGGGCACCCACGGGGAAAGGACGATCGAAGAGTTGCTGCGGTCGCACAGAGATCGCGCAAGGGTCGAACSCGAGGAGTCTCCCTGCTGGGATCTGGGAGAGGCAAATGGCAACACAGACGGGGACGCGCTCTCCCAGCAATGTGTGTGTGTGTGTRGGATTGACGGCGGGAACCACGGGAAGGAGGCCTTCCGCTCCGGGGAAAACAACGGGGAGAGACATCCGCCTTGTCGCCGTCTCGAAATCGACAYCGAAATCGACACCGACACTTGCGCCGCGGAAGGACCTTCCTTTCGMCGCTGCGGGGTGGCCMTTCCCTTGTACCCCTCGTCGGTCTCCGTTCGACCGCTCCAATCCCTCGTCGTTTCGATCGAGGGTGGACCAACGCCGGGGGATGCAAACCAGGCACGAGACGATGGCAACARCGATGGCAACRACKATGGCAACGACTATGGCAGCAACGACGGCGATCGAATGGCGATTTTGTTGGAAGCGTGCTGGAAGCGGCAGCTGGTGGGAAAGCTGCTCGCCGTCGACGACCAGTGGACGAGCCGGGTACGACTGCTCTTTGGCGGCGGCGACGACCACGACGGGATCCGMCACCCATCGGAAGGACCATCGCACCACAAACAGGCCGCGCGCTATGCCCGAGTGGAGTCCTGCACGCCGTTGCCCTTGCCGAACCGAAGAACGACGCCGAGGACGTCGCCGCCGCCACACGCCCAGCCCGGCACCACCCGCAAGGGACCCCTCTCGGTACCCAGCGAGTTTTACGTGGTGTTGCCCAGCACCTACGTTACCATTCGCCGGTCCCCGCCCTCCACAAGGGATCCTCTCCGGAAGGAAGGCCTTCCCACCGCGACCGCCGGAAAGGAGGATCCCCCCAGCCCCGCCGCCCGGYTGTTGGCGGACACACTCGAGTGCGTCCGGCGCGGCGGTCGGGGAGACGTACCGAGGACCTTTCTGCTGTCGGGGGCGCCGGGGGTCGGRAAAACCTTTAGCGTTTCCTGGGCGGCGGCTTTTCACCCTCGCACGCTCAAGTGCTCCGTCCGCGGCTCGGAGCTGCTGAGGGGTGCTTCCGGCCGCGAGCCCGGGAGCGATCGAGAAAAGCAGCGCCTCGGTTCTCCCGCACGCGCACTGGAATGGGAATTCCTGTCCATGGTCCGGTCTCTCTCCGAGATGGATCGGCAGAAGACGCARGGGGAAAGCGGCCTTGCGACGGGCCTTKTCTTCCTCGACGAGTGCGACGCCCTGGTGAGYGTGGAACCGGTCGCGGCCATGCTGGCACACCTGCTGGACAAGGTCTCTTCGGCGACGACCGGAACAACGYCCACGAACCCTWGCCACAAKGGGGGAGGCGCAAGGGYCGAATCGGACGAGCGGTACTGGGGGAGGATCGTGGTCGTGGGTGCCACCAACCGCATCGACTCCCTTCCGTCCTTTCTCCGACGCGCGGGGCGATTCGACCGCGAGGTTCCGATGCATCCGCCCTCGGCCGGTCAGCGGGCCGAGCTCCTGGAATCCCTCCTGTCAAGCACCGTGTCCGGGGAGGAACCAACGGCCGGCCGCGCTCTGATTCGCAGGGAGGACCTCCAGAAAATCGCCGAGCTCTGCGTGGGATACGTTGCCGCCGACCTATCGGCACTCGTTCGGAAAGCCTGGCTCCTCTCTCTGCAAACCACGAGCGGGGGAGGCCAGAACGCCTGCCTCTCGSTTTCTCACCTCGAGCAAGCCCGGGGCCTCGTGGGTGCCTCGGCGCTCCGCGACGCGTCGCTGGCCGCCCCGCCAAAAATCACKTGGGACGACGTTGCCGGTGACCCCGGTGGGGCCAAGACGGCCCTGCGGCAGGCCATCGAGTGGCCGAGATCGAGGTCGAGGGAGTTCGAGATGCTCGGCCTGCAGCCCTGCCGGGGMATCCTCTTGCACGGACCCCCGGGCTGCGCAAAAACAACCCTTGCGAGGGCGGCAGCGGGCTCGTCGGGGGTAGCCTTTCTCTCGCTGAGCCCGGCACAGGTCTATGCTTCCTCCTATGTAGGAGAGGCCGAGCGGGTGGTTCGCCAGGCATTTCACTTGGCTCGCTCTACGGCTCCCTGTATYTTGTTCTTTGACGAAATCGACTCTATATTCGGAAGCAATGGYGGGAACGGTGGCGACGGTGGAAATCTCGGGGGCAGCGGCCGGGGCAGCTCGGCAGAGGCCAGGGTCCTTTCCACCTTTCTGAACGAAATGGACGGGGTGGATATCGCCGGTGCGGGAAAAGACGGCGTTCTGGTGCTGGGGGCCACCAATCGTCCGTGGACGATGGACCCTGCCTTGTTGCGACCCGGACGACTGGGCGACAAGATAGTCTACCTCCCCCCGCCCGACCGAGAGGCCCGGCGCTCCATTTTCGAGAAACAGTTTGCGGGTGTTCTTCCCGCAGAAGCTGGCAGCCAAGAGTCCGAACCGGGTTGGCAGCTGGACTTCGACGTCTTGGTGGAACTCAGCGAAGGAATGACGGGTGCCGAAATCGTRGGGACCTGCCAAGAGGCCAAGATGCACTGGATGCGGGAGAAAATCCTTCGAGTGGGTCCGGACGGTGACAGTGGTACAAGCGACAAYACGGAGGCTGGTTTTACACAACAGGATTGCATCGTTAATGCTCTCATGTCCGTCAAGCCACTACTTTCGAACCCCGAAGCTCTTGAAGAATTCCAGGTTTTTGAAAATCGCGACAAGAAAGGCGTCTTCTGATAGAGTGTACAGTCTAATGTATAAGATATTTATGCTGGGTATTCAATGCTCKTCGTTACGGTAGAGAAACGAATTAAAAAGGATTCAAAAGAGCGAGACGCTATTACTTTTTCGGCACGTATTGAACTCGGTAAAAGGACTTTGTTTCGTTTGTCTGCGGCTCTCGTTTTATATCACCAACATCTGCAAGGAGTTCCCTGATCTTATTCACTAGCTCGATTCCTGCATTCGGATTCTGGCGAAGGGTTCTCATCTTGGTGAAGACTGTGAAATCACAATCGTGTCCYTTKGACAAAAATCCTCTGAGTCGGCCAAGTTTTCGTTCGAGATCGTTGCTTTCGATTCCGGCTTTGAATCGAAATGCCTTGAGTTCCTTTCTGTTTGCCGCGGCTTGTTGTTGCTTCTTCTGTGCCTGCTTGTGCTTGTATTCCAACTTAGAGAGCTGTGTGGCTCGAACGACCGGAGGATCGCCTTTTATGTTTGCCCCAATCAAATCCAATTCCCGATCCAGAGATATTTCGATCGCTTCCGATAGAGATATCACTTCAACCGAGGATGGCGTGTCTGGGCCCTCGTCTATAACTAATCGAATTGTAACTTTGTCTGCAGATGAGACCGAAGCATTCCGGATCAGCTGCGCAATTAGTTCTTCATTGGAGACAACGCCAGTATCTGTTTTCTTTTTCTTCCCGTTGGCCCGTCGTCGTGAAGCAAACGATCTSGACGTAACATCCGAATGCCGCAACAACGTCAGCGAGCAATTGATTGAAGGATGTGTCGATACTTTACAYAAAGATTCAGCAGCMAATTGGTAATTTCTTCTCCTGCCGTCGATTTCGCGTTTGATTTCAGGAAAACATGATGTGTGTGCGCAGGTGCGTGTCCACAGTGCACGACGTGCTGCCGACGATGCACTAAAAAGTAGTGGTCTTGACGACATGGCTGATTTTTTGCGACTCAATCTCTGCTCTTTCCCCTCTCAACCTGCTTCCTCGCCTTGAATTTTTTAAACGGCTTGTGCCATAAGCTAAATCACAAGGTTTCCTTTGACAGCTCGATTATCTTGTTCGTAGTACTTCGWATCTGTTTTTGGAAATCGAGAGTGATTGAGATTCCTCTCGGTTTTCATTTTTCATTTTTTTGGCGCAAACCTCCATGCCCAATACTGGGTACTGTACGATTCGTCAGCAGCCACGAATGACGACGAGGCGAACGGACAGGCGAACGAAGAGCGTCCCTGCGAAGTAGGAGTAAATCCCATATGAAGTAACGAAAGTTCAATTGTTACATTGTTTTACATTACACCAAGCAATTACAAGTTCTTAATACGTAGAAGTACAACGTACACGGTTTTCCGTGTGAGTCGTGGTACGTATAGTATTCATAGTATGTACGTATCATACTCCATTGAATTGAACGAGTCCGGAGACCGGATAGATTTCATCGCCAACACATTAAGGGCCATAGTTTACGAAAGATTCTCACGAGGATTGGCGGCACTATGTGTGAATGATGAAATCGAAAAGGATTCTTCGACAGATGCATAGAACAAAGCCATCAGGATTTGACCGTCGGTGATTTTCTTTTGTGCTCGACATTATGATTCGCTTCCTTCGGAAGCACGGAAAGGAGGCTACGTTATCGATGGAAGCAAGAGCGTTTCAACTGAACAAATTAACATTGTTTGCCTTTTTCGTTATTTCTGGGATAACTTGTCATGGTTTCCGTTGAGAGAATAAGTGGGGGATTCGTATTTTCTACTTCCATGATTGTTCCTTTCACGTAACATCACTTATGGCATGCCTGCACTCTGCTATAAAATATCAGTGTATCGATGTAACCAACTTATAATCTAGATGCCCTCATTTATTGGATTTCTCCTGTGATAGAATTGYATGGTGTACGAAACCAAACCTTTTAGAMTAAGCATACAATACATGTAGTCCATTCAGTCCAACAATCAAAGCATGATCTAGCACTATTTGTAGATTCAAAGAATAATGRTTTGATGAAAATTGTTATTTCGTTTTCGATTTATMGTTTCTACTACCCGATTTCAAGACTTGCCTTCCTTATGTTTTGTCTTCGGTCAAARWWATAGAASCAATCATCTCTATCACCTCGCATATAGGKTATTTYAATTGTTRGTGGGAGGGAAGAATGAAGTCATATCGTGTGGAGTAGCGTCAAATTCAAGATTGCACGCAGTTCCTCTCAAAGAAGAAAAAGATGTTCTTTGTACAGAAAATCGAGAGGGATTGCACTGGTTGTTGCTAGTATTGCATTTCGACCGGACCACTCATATCGCARTTTCTGATGCTTGCCCGCTTCGGAGGTGTAACCATTCGGACAAGTTCATTGTCGGTTGATTTCGGTGCAATCTGATACCTTGTGTTTTTGCTGATGCTGGTGTCGTCGTCGTTCAATCCTTTTGACAATGTTTTCGGTATTGTGATTTCACTGATAACGTCTGGTACACCATGTGTTGCCRAAGCTTGTCTCTGTTTGGTTTCTTTGGAGCATCTGYTTCCGCATTTGGGGCAAAACTGCCACGAACTCGACTCCAGCGGAGTATGGCATGAAGAGCAACTTCGATCGAAACCGTGGCTGCCACTGTGGCTGCTCATGGATTCTCTATGTCTATTCCTGGAGCCTCGTTTTGTCCATCGTTCTCGTTCCGTATTCCCTGTGTCAGATGTAGAATGGTTGTTTCTTGAGTCTGTAAACATCCTACTGTCTTGACGACTGCGTTTGCACATTTTCAAGTACTCGTAGTCTATCGTTGTTGTTTTGAAGCCACACGTTGGGCAGTCTAGACAATCGACACCTTCGGAGCTGCAAGCAAAAGGAATTCCGCCAAAGATATTCAATTTGCTAGGGCGAGCTTCGATTAGATCCATGTGTCCGGAGCAAACCAGGCAGGGCCTTTCGGATCTCTTAATGTGGCATCTGAACCCGGCGTCACTGCTCATTGTGAGAAGTAAGAAGTGAGATGTTTCACCGAGTAAATTTGATGGCAATGTCCAATATTCTCAAACGTTCAAACTTCGTTTTATCAGAGCGCGACGAACCAAACCGAACCGAACCAAAGCACTCAATTTTACCSCTCAGCACCGAGAGAYGATGGAACAGAACAGGATGGTCGTGGCAATTGCAACTATACCCAGTCAGTGAGTGGAGTCTCGATGTTTAGTACTCTGATAGATAAGAATGTCGCTAGCTATGCTTGTGAAGATTGCGTAAATTCTGGAAACAATGCTATCTTCTGTATCTAGCTGTGAACTGTGAACAAGAAAAATAGAGAGGATATTAACARTGTAAACATCGATGAAAGGGAGTGCCGCCGAAAATAGARTATGGAACGAAAAGAAGTGTTTCGGCAGGCGATCAGAATTTTTTGCTCGCACMTGTACATCCACATGAATCTGATCCCACACTTTGTCTGTTCGTAAGAAGTGACACACATGCGATGCCCAAAAAAGGAAATCGGGYACAGTACGTAGAATTWTATYTTGAGCGGTGATCGATGTGTTCTCCAGAAAAAATTCACTGCGATAGTAAACTTAACGGACCGTTGTGAGCGCGGCGAGCATCACTATGTACTTTGGAGCTAATTTTGTKCGACGAGTTATCGTTCGTCGTAGAAAAGCGCCATTATGACTTCTCGCACATGTACTTCGAAGTATTATTTATTTGAAGTATCGTACCGTACGCCACACTGTATGAATAGAGTACTACCGTAGTAATACTGTACCAAAACCAAAATGGTACGAGTACGTTGACTATTACCGTAGAAGTACCAAGTACCGTACCTACCGCTATTTCTGTCTGTACGTACGACGTACGAGTAATACGTACAAAGATTAGGTCAGCAAGTAAAACCTGAAATGATGTTTCCAATCGTCAACGGACGTGAATTAGTGCCGATATGAACTAAGGAGGATATCGTGGACAAGACTATTCGAGTACAGAGTCCATCATCTCAATCGAATACTTCGAAGCCGCATTGTCCCGAATGATCGTTCACTATGAATGGATTATTTTTCATCAACAGAACTAGATACCTATTTAAGTAGGTTCAATTTATTTGACCATGGTTTTCTTCTGCCGACTCCTGCTTCCAATCATCAATAGTATGGGCAATGTCGACAGGCTCGCTCGGTTGAAAGCAGTAGGCATCATGACGATCTCTGTTGTTGGAATCTTTACTATGGTATATTACGACAGCATCGTGGAACAACCATATTACGAAGACGAAAAAGAAGGAAATAAGTGTCGCCACACAGTAATCGCTACCAACATACAATTGTTGAAGAAGGATGTTTTGGGGGCCACAGCTATCGTAAACAGAAGCATACTTTCAGGGCTATCGAAAGTCAAAAGGCTTGAAAAGCGTGGAAAGCGCACCATTGGACCCTTCTATCCCGAAAACGATGTGGCCAACTTTTACCATAAGGTTGGTTGTGAATGATRATGAATTTCGTGATGTTCATCTGATCAATCGAACAACATTGGTGGCCGAAGAAAATGAGCAGTCCTCACAGAACCGAGGCTCGCATGATCACCTACAACAGACTTGTTCACCATTAGAAGAAAGTTAGGAATAAGCAGAATGAACAGACGATTCATAATACTTCATTAAACATAATTCTTGTGCATCAAGTGAGAGTTATGATTCAAAAGTGTTAGTTGATGGTAATTTAATCGYATTACTCTTATTGATTGAGAATACGAATTTTCTGCAAAGTCCTTGGGTGGAATGAAACTTATTTGGATTACTATGTCGCGTCAAGTCGGTAGAGATTGTAGTGTGAGGTACAAAAGAGGAGATTCGATACAAGATCCTACGGAAGTTTAGGGGAGGCCAGCGAAAGAAGTTTTTGGAACCGAATCAAAACGAGATGATAACCATTWTCGTCGGATTTGAAAATTGACTCTTTTTGAGCGCTACTTGTCTCAATTGTATAATTTATTGATCTCGTACCCTATTCGTTTGTACTGCATAATGTGTCGAGGTTGATATTCAATAACACCTTCACAAGATAGTTGCACCTAGTTTTTCTTGTCGAGCACCTGGTCAATATAATTTCGCCACTTGCCAATCTGTAAAAACAAATTTCCGCGTTCACCCTGCTTAAATCGYTGTTCGACCTCTTCGAGTTCCTCTTGCGTTGAAATTCGACGCAAGGGTTCGTGGACTATGAATGGGTCTTGCTCCCGGGCGATCGCCGTACTGAGATCCATATCAAAGCAGCGAGACACATGTTCTCGCATGTTTTCAATTTCATCTTCTTTGCTTAGTGTATTTCTTAACAACTTGATGGTCATTTCGGGAGAGGGGCGACGAAACAGTACGTGGTGCTTTGTAGGGATCCATACGAAGCTGAATCGATTTTCGAACAGGATCATTTGTCCCTCAACAAATCGATTATCTTTGAATCCCTTTCTTGATACCTGACCTTTCCCTGGAAAGCGATAGAACTCACCACTTCGCTGTTCGTTGACAAGCTTCACTGGCGGAAGAGCGGATGAGTTTGACGGTTTGATGTTAACCGTGAAACTCCTCTCTCCTCTCGGCACATTGATGTCCCCCGTCACTTTTTCCGCAATTATCTCGTCGCCTGTGTAGGTAATGTTGATCAGTTGTAATCCTTTTGAATCTCCATAACTAATTTTTTAAAAGGCAAATAAAATCAGTAAGAAAAATTCGTCAGGAAATAAGAAAAGCGATTYGAGAAATGAAAGAGGTCTACMATCTATTCGAAAAGTGCATCATAATTTTTAACAGTGATCTTGTCCACTTACTCTCCTACCCACAAGCCCTCCATGTTGAGATGTGGCATAAATTCACGTGCATCCGATTCAACGTTTGACCATTTCTCAATAAGAATMTCTTTTTCTTCGTCGGAAACATCATCCATTTTCTTCGCTTCTGCAATTATTTTTTGTGCCTTGTCGTACATGAAGTATGGGTCACGCTTTTGCCCTTTCCCAATTGCCTTTTCAAGAGATTCGATACGGGCGTCGTCTTTCAAGGCCTTCGCCCATTCCAAATTYTGTTTCAGACTTTYTATGTCTTCTCTTAGCATAGTCAATTCATCTCCTGAGGCAAACCGTTTGGAACTCGAGGGATCTTTTTCCACACGCGCCTTGCGAARTTCTTCCTTGTCCTCGTTGCTGTTGTCGCTCTCGTTGATATCTTGATTCAAGCTGTTGAGGCGGGTCGCAAATGATGTTGATGTTGATGTAATCCCAAAGCTCGTTGACTGGTGTTTTGAAGCCAAATGAAAAACAACTGGATTAAATGCACAAACGTGCGATGTTGAATAGCTCGTTGACAACAACGACAGCACTGAGATGATAAAAGCAAGGGATGATTTCATTGTTTGATTTTGACCTGTTCTTGCCATCGWTAAATCTGCTGAAGAAAGTATTGTTGTTWCTTGATGCTAGAGACTATGTGAGCGTTGTCGGTGAGGTCGATGGAAMTAGTTGAGGTGTTCGAGTTTCTAACTAAATTCATCACATTCTTTTCGTTCCTGATACCGAGAAGTTCTTGTGTCTTCGATAGAACATCTTTCCTGGCGAGAGAAGTCGGAATCGGGATCTACATTATTTTTGTGATGACATCGGACATCGATATCTACCTTCCTTTTMGAATTTCTGTGTCGATTGATCGGTTCGCCGTCTTCGAAAAACCAATTATTTTAAAGCAGATGGATCRAGCGAACAGGCGAACCAATGCTTAACGGATAGGAGGAAATCGAATCAGAACTTTCCTTTGTTTGGCCACGTGATAGTCGTCATCTGATGAGAATTCACGAATGAGAAAAAAATCTGTTCGTAGTCGATCGTAAAAGCGAGCCGTCATTGTTGGTTGAAAATTCCTTTCTCGTTGTCCCATCCCGCATTACGAGTACCAGTTATTTCGAAGTAAAATGCGTTAACAGTAAAATCCTACCAGGGCCTAGAGACCTCAATGTCAATCTACTCCAACAGAAAAAATTATTACTAGTAAAATCACGGTTAATTTTGAAGCAAAATATTCTAGTACTGGTCCTACACAGATCTGCAAATCTACTAGTTTTTGGTCACTTTTACCACTACAAACAGCTCAATGAGGTAAAATAAGCTAAACACAACAGCTCCGGAAAGGCTTGTGGTGATGAGATCCCCTTTGGGGAAAAGCTTCTTAATAGTATTGCTGGGAACAGCCCCATGTGTCATTGTTACACGATTAAGGGCCTGGGGGGAGGCGATTCACCATTAACAGCCGGTATGGCCAAAATTGGCTGGTTTACAAGACCGCCTGCTGGTTAGAAAATAGGCCAGATCTTTATCAAAAAACAACTTTAGACCACCACCAGACTAAGTGCCCAGACCAAGATGATGCAATTACTTAGTGTTCCAGGTCATTGGGATGCTTAAGGATGCTCCTCTGGCGGCTTAGAACTGGTCTGCCAAAGGTAGAGTAGTGGGTGGGTGAAAATTGCGCATTAATTTTGGCTGTAATTTTATATCGAAATAACTTGTACGAACCGTACCAGTTTAAGCAATAAAAAATGCATTAATCGTAGAAGCCTTGTTCTAAATTGTACAGAGCCTGAAAACATTCTATTCAAACAGAAAAATTATTACTAGTACTAGTAAAATCGTGGTTAATTTTGAAGCCCAGCAGTATTTCATACTGATCCTACAAAGATCTACTAATTTTTGGTCACTTTTTGACCACAAACAGTGTATTAGGACATTTAGAACTGCTCTGGTATGGCCTGAGAGCAACTGTTCTTTGGGGAAAAGCTTCCTAGTAGTACTAGTAGTAGTGTTGGGAACACCAGTGCCATGTGTCATTGTTACACGATTATAGGCCTTGGGGGAGCCAGTTCTCCATTAACAGCTGATATGGCCAAATTTGGCCAGTGGAGACCAGCTACTGGTTAGAATAGGCCAGAACTCTATCAAAAAACAACTTTAGACCACCAGACTACTAAGGGCCCAGACCAAGATGATACAATTACTACTTCTTACTAGAGATCCAGGTCATTGGGAAGCCAAAGGATGCTCTACAGGCTTAGAACTAGTCAGCCAAAGTTACAGTAGTAGGGTGGCCAAAAATTGTTAATTTTGGCTGTTTTTTATTCTGCTTAAACTGGTACTTTACTCCAAGGGAGAAAAAACATGCCAATTCCTCCTCCCCAGCCCCCCTCCAACCCCAAATCAAAAAGGTGGAAATTCCTGAATCCTATTTCTTGTAAAATGTGACTACAATTGATCAAAATAGTATTGATTTTCTTTTGTCACAATTCATTGGTTTGTTCCTGCAAACATAAAAAATAAGTACTTTGTATCGGATTGCATAGCAGCAGCAGGAGTACTAGAAGTATTAATAGTACTAGTAGTAGTACTAGTACTACTACTAGTACCACTAGTAGTACTACTAGTAGCTAGTACTGCAAGTAGTAGTAATACCACTAGCACTGTTAGTACTTCAGATGGCATCAACAACAGCAGGTCATTTTTCTGCACTACTTTCCAAAGCAGATTTTATTTGCTCTGCAATCCAATGATGATTGTCCCCAAATTGACATACAGCAAGAATGCTTTGTTACAAAACAGTTCTGTCAGAAAAACTGCTCCTAAGGCGCCAATTCTCCAAGCTCCAACTTCAGCAGTTGGTGGGGCAGGTTTTATCCCCCTGGAAGTCATCACTGGTGGTAGAGGATATGTTATCCATTTTTTGTAACATTGGAGATCTACTGACATTGTAGGTAAAGCATCTTCTTAGGATTGTTCTCTGGTGGTTTTGATTGTTTTCTCCAAACCTGTCCTTGAATTTCCTTCCATTACTACTGTCTCATATATCCCAGGCAGATGATGTTCTCAATGTGTTTGCAGATATCTCTCCACTATCAATTGCACCATCACCAGTGTTGATAAAACAAGGATTATACCCCCGCCTCTCTGTTGTGGTGACAAAACCATTATGGAACTTGCCCTACTAGCAAGGCTCACAAGGTAGATTTCAAAAGCTCATGTATGCATTATACTCCATCAGATTAATTGTGTCCAGATGTATCTCAAAGTTCTATGGCTTGTGAATTGTGCCTCCCTGGCACTAACATATTGTCTCCCACCAGTCTATTTTCAGACCACCGTTTGGAATTCTACAATCCTCACACAAAGTATCCATATCAGCCCAATCCCAAACAGAGAAGTAAGTTGGAATGCATTTACTAAATTTCTTTAAGAGTATTTCTCACATTCCCATCACCAGCAGGGTTCTTAGCAAGGCTCACAGGCTTGGTAATGGGCATCTTGTTCCTCTTGCTCACCATGGTGTATGGAATGCATGTCCATCTAACAACAACTGCATGTGGACTTTACCAGGCAATGGACTATAGCTTTCCCATCCATTTGTGTCTATGTGGCAAAACCTTTCTCTGGAAATACCTTCCCATTAACCATGTCCCTGTCCTCACTTGGCAAGCCAACACTGAAGGTTTTCAATATGATCCAACCAGTGTACATCTATTTCCCAAGTCTTCTTTTATGATCCAACCAATACATCTATTTCCCCAAGCCAGCAAACTTCCACCCATGACACTCCACTTGTGACCTCCACTTTTACATAACATTAATCCATGACAACGCAAGCTTCTTCAACAGGTACAATTTGAGACCAATTTCTCTCGGACACTGGCTGTGTTTGCTTCAGGGACAAATTATCTAGAGATGGTCTCAGATGGATCCATTTAAATGCCTCCATGTCCTTCAGGTGGTCTCATGCTACTACGGTTGCTGGGGATAGAATTGCACATGTATATGGCCCATGCTTTGGGATTGAAAGTTTTCTTTGCCCTGAGGCCACTGGATTATTATTATTGGGCTGTGTCTTTGTTACACTCCTTGCATCACATCATCACCACCAAGAAGTAAGAATGTCTCCATTGATATCTCAAATTGATTCCAATAGTACTGGTACAAGTCATTGCAGTTTTTGGCATGAAATTGGAATTTGTGAAGATTGGACTGCAGCTCTGACTGTTCTCAGTTCTTGACAGGATGATACAGAT